TCGGGAACAAGAAAGGCTCAGGTTGCGCCTCTCATGGAGGAGTACGACCGGGCAATGCGGACCTACGAGGACGCGATTGAGCCCGTCATGAATCAGCAGGACCAACTCAAGTCGACGATCGATGCCGACCAGGCCCGGCTCGCAGAACTCGAGGTAGATGACTCGGCAGCCGCTCTGGTTGCAGACGTGCGTGCGCAACTTCACGCGAACCAGCAGAGGCTCGCCAAAGTCAACGCGACCGTGAAGCAAATGGTCGCCGCAAAACCCAAGCGCCCCGACGTCCGACACGTCCGCGCGCTTGCCGCCTCGAAAGCAGCAGCTGCAGCACCGGCTTTGCAATCGGTTGCGACGATGGCGGTTGAGCAGGACGACTCTGACGACGAATGCGAAGAGGACGGCATTCCGCCGTCGCCCATGCAGGCGACTTCTGCCGCTCCAGCGCGCTCCAGGAAGAGAATCTATGAAAGAGACTCTGACGACGAGGCCGCTCCATCATTTGAAACAGCCCAGAGTGGCGGGTCGGACGAGAATGTGACCTATTCACTGTCGTCAAGATCGCTCGAGCGGCTGAAGGAGCCCCGTCTTGCTACCCGCAGCTCATCGCGGCTCATGTCGTCTCCAGGTGTGACACTCAGTCGTGCCAACACAATTGGCGTGAGCAGCTGGCTGACAAACGACATGGCGGCGATGCAGCTTGTGTCAACCGAGGAAAATGTCTCGTCCACGCCGAAAACCGATCGCCGGAAGCGACTCGCGCTATCTGACCTCTCCAATTCGAACTAAATGTGTTACATGTATGACTTTATGTGCAATTTGATGTATGTTATTGTTGTCGGGTTGATTAAACGACGATAATTCTTTGTCCCGATTCGAACCCGCGCACGCTCCCGGCCATAAGTACCCACAACATGACCCTATCGTCCACCAATACGGATAATATCGATTTTCTTTGCATCTTCGCTGCATGTCCACTGTCGGGGGCGGGCGGGAAGGTGCCGGGAGTGCTGCGGAGGTTGTCCCTCCTACAATGGGACAAGATTTTTCGCGCCCAGCCAAAGGTCAATGCAAAGTCAAAATTTCATATTGCTCCGACCGCCGCCATTTTTTGCACATCGTCTATATTAATAATACTGAACAAGAATATGAAGAGAGCTAGATGCAGGGTGGTCTCCATTTTTTGTCCCATTGTAGGAGGGTTCTCTCTAATACAGTACATCCTGTTTGTCAAAAAAACACGAAAACTCCTTTGTCCTTGTTCAGTTTGACAGATCTTATGGATCTGTTAAATTCAGCAAAAATCTCGCGGTACATGTATTTTCCTTCTCGTGTGGCTCGTCTGGCCGAGAGAATTACCTGCATGGAAGGAAAACAATGGTTTGATTTGGCGCAAGTCAATTTCACATCAACCCTTTGCCTCTTCACTCATTTTTTTTGTATCTTCCTTTTCGGTCTTTTAATCAAAATCTTCGCCCTCTTCACAAACACGAACACGCAAACACGCAACACTATGCCTCGAAAGGATGATTTGATGGAGGCAAAAGAAGCCCAGCTCTCAGAGCAGAAGCAGCAGCCACCCTTCATCACGTCAGACCACGGTGTTTGCTTTGAAAACGACACCGACAGCCTGAAGGCAGGTGTCCGTGGGCCGGTGCAGATCGAAGACTTTCATTTACGCGAAAAAATCACCCATTTCGATCACGAGCGGATCCCCGAGGTATGTTCGTAATGCAACTTTCATGTACTCACGAAGAGAGCGCGATACGCATAATGAGAGAAAGGGCGAGGAGAAAACGCAAGAGCAAAAAGAACGCTGCTCAGGAAACAAACAAAAAAAAATACGCAAATTCACGGCGCCATTTTGGAAGACTGAGACCTTAAGAAATACAAACCCACGCAATTGTTTGTTGTCGAACTGCGTTTTGATGCGTGTCCATTCACCGATTTCCTCTCAAAATAATCGATTCGAACAATCTCTGAACAAACAGCGGGTCGTTCATGCTCGAGGATCGTCTGCTCGAGGATACTTTGAACTCAAAGAATCCTTGAGTGATGTCACGCAAGCTGCCTTCTTGACCGACAAATCCGTGCGAACTCCCATTCTTGTTCGATATTCTCAAGTCCTCGCAGGTCGCAACGGCCCTGACATGACCCGGGACATTCGTGGTTTTGCCATTCGATTTTACACGTCAGAAGGAAACTACGATCTCGTTGGAAACAACATCCCGGTGTTTCCAATCCAAGATGCCATGAAGTTCCCTGATTTGATCCACTCTGCGCGCCCTGAACCTGACACGGAGATGCCCAGTGCTGGAGTCACTAATCATGACAACTTCTGGTGTGTAGAGTATCGTAGTGTGTAAATTGTCGTCGAGGTTCTGCTCACTTGTTGCTTTTCGTCGTTGAAACACAAAAGGGATTTCATTTCTCTGACACCAGAAAGCATGCATGCCGTCATGTGGATGCTTAGCGATCGTTGTATCCCGCGTTCGCTCCGCATGATCCAGGGTTTTGGGTAGGCTCCTCTTCCAAATCTTGCTTGAAGGCGATTCTTGTTTGTCACTCCCGAACTCTTCAACTGACACTCTCCCTTTGTTGATTGACATTCAGCGTTCACACCTTTGTCCTTCTCAACGCCAAAGGCGAGCGCAGCTTTGTCAAGTTTCACCTTCGCCCTTCAACGCTTGGCGTGCATGGCATTTGCTTTGATGAAGCGCTCCAGGTGAATGGTGTCGATCCTGACTTTCACCGACGAGATTTATTTGATGCGATCGCTCGGGGTGACTTTCCAGAGTTTGACTTTGGCGTTCAAGTGGTGGAAGAATCGCGAGAAAACTCGTTTGACTTTGATCTCCTCGATGCGACCAAGATCATTCCTGAAGAGCTCGTACCTGTGCGCTGGGTGGGAAAACTCGTCTTGAACAAGCATGTGGATCCGTTCGGCGAGAATGAACAAGTCGCTTTTTGCCCTGCAAACTTGGTGCCAGGCATTGACACATCGAACGATCCCTTGCTCCAAGGTCGCCTCTTTTCCTACTTGGACACCCAAATCAATCGCTTTGGAACGGTCAACTTTACCCGCCTCCCCGTGAATTGTCCTGTCGCTCCTGTTGTCAATAACCATCGAGACGGCTTTATGCAAGGCTGCATTTTCCGCGACAAGTTCAATTATTCACCGAATCGCGGAGCGAGCATTCGAGTTGATGCTCAGCGTGGTTGTCCAACCCATCCGACGCCGATCCAACCTGGAGCTACGAAGATCCGTGCCAAGTCGGAAAAGTTTGCAGATCACTACTCTCAAGCCATGCTCTTTTTCAACTCAATGACACCTATTGAGCAGCAGCATATTATTGACGCCGCTTCGTTCGAGCTTGGTTCATGCAAGGAAAGCGTGGTTCACCTGCGCATGCTCGACCATTTCAACCACATCAATCGAGATCTGGCTGTGAAAGTCGCAGCAAAGCTTGGATGCGCTTGCCCTCCTGCGCTCCTCGACTGGACGTACTCGACCCAGGTGTCAAAGCACTTGAGCATGCTGGATCCGCTCGGTGGCACTAGCGCCGGCTCGAGCGTGGAAACTCGTCAAGTTGCCGTGATACTTGCGGATGGGTTTGACGCGGAGCAGTTTCTCGCTGTCTCTCAAGGTTTAAAATCGGCCAAATGCGTTGCTAAAATCGTGGCGCCACGCAAAGGCAAGATTGAAAGCTCCAAGAAAACCGAAGACACCGCGGTCGAAGCCGACAGTACGTTTTTCACCACCAAATCTGTCGTATTTGATGGTGTCATTGCTATCGGCGGTGCTCCGAGTGTGCAGACCCTTGCAGCCTCTGGCGCTTGTCTGGCGTTTATCAACCAATCCTTCCGCCATTACAAACCGATTGGGGCTGTGGACGACGCACTTTCGCTGCTCTTGGACGTGTCCTCGTACGGCAAGGTGCAACTTACCGGCAAAGAATCGTCTTCCGTCTGTTCCGATCAAGGTGTTGTGTCGAGTGCACACGGTGCAAGTTCTGAGTTTGTCAAGGTCTTTCTTGACGCTCTTGGCATGCACCGATTCTGGATGCGTGATATTTCGCGTATTCCAGCTTAAGTGCTATTGGCTGAGCTTTAGTTTTTGATGTTTGGGGCATGATGTGTGACGACCAACAAGAACCGTGTAAATAGAATCTAACAAAAACAAACAACTCGTTTGTAAATCTCAGAAGCAACACCAGCTGACCTTCCGAGCAACCCCCAAACTCTGAAGCTCTCCATTCTATCGTTTTTCTGATTTCTGAGATCTTTTGCAGTCATCTTTTTTTCCATCGAACTACGCAACGACAGCTCGAATGACTGAATTCGCATTTCGAAGCCTCGCGTCGGACGCTGAAATCAGCCCGTGGCTCGATCATGTCGTCGAGTGCTTTGCAGACAAGGGCACGCCGCGATCGTACTTTGAGCGCCACTGGGCGATGGACCCGTTCCGGTCGCTGAAGGGGATTCGGATTGCCACTGAGCAGAGCACGCTCAGTGCTGCTGCGTTGCCGCTCACCAACGGCGTGATTGCCAGCTCTGTGCGCATCTACGATCGACGCGTCTCTCTGCATGGTCGCGTCCTCGGCGTTGGCGGCATTGGCGAGGTGAGTCGTTCGATTTCGTTCGGGTTGGGCAGCCAAATTTCTTCCCTCCAACAAGCACAAATTTTAAGAACAATCCATCAATCCATCCCAACCTTGAACTGGATGACTTTGCACAGGTATCTACGAAAAAGGCATTCCGGGGAAAAGGCCTCGCATCGGCACTCATGAACGATGCGCTCGAGTACATGAAACGCGAGGGAATTCCACTCGCTGCGTTGCACACCAGCAATCCGCTGACGGTGGCGTTCTATGCCAAACTGGGCTGGATCTCGGTACCACTATACTTTTACGAGCTTAGCATCGACCGGCAGCTGCTGGCAAGCGCGCCCAAGACACAATTTGACATTTGCGCCGTGCCAATCGCCAATCCAACGTCCAACCAGTCATTCGATGCCACTGAATGGCACGATATTGCACAGCTGCATGCCCATGCAGTGTCAACCTTTAGTGGCAGCTTTGTGCGGCTAAAGCACCCCGAAGCTTCCATCGACGCGGACAATGCGGAATACTGGCGTACCTGGATTGCAGCTGAGGCGCTCGAGCGACATACCACCTATGTGCTTGCACTTTATCCAGCAACGTCGGCGCACCAACCAAACGAGAAACAACCCCTTCTGGCGTACGGGATTTTCCATGTGCGCATCCATCCGAAAACCCAAACCGCGCTGCTCGTGCACGCTCGCGATTTTATCGTGCGATCGGATGCATCCACAGACGTGTCTGTGCTTTTGGCACTTGCCAACGAAGCAGCGTCCCTCTGGTATGGGTCGCATCACCAAGAGCCACTCCCTACCGTGATTGTCAAAGTCCAGCAAGGCCTGTTGCAAACCAACGCTGCATCATTCCCTTCCCTTGTTCAAAACCTGGAAAGCATCGTCGATCCAGGCTACATGTACAAGGTTGTGGACGGATGTGCGGTTGCAAATGCGTTACGGCGACCGGATTTGGCCGTCGACAGTTTGGAAGGCGTCGCCATGATTGAACAGCAACTTGCAGCATTGATGACCTCTGGCAATCCTCAGCAGCACATCTTTTTAGAAATGGATGCGTACTGAGCCCCGACAACCAAATGGCAATTGTTTTGTACTGTATTTTCATGCGATCACACCAAAACTACAAAACACACAAAAATCACACTCTTAATTCACAAAAATTCGCAAGGAAACAATGCTGTGTTGTTCACCTCAAAAGAAAAAAAAAGCGTCTAAACAAAGACTTGAACGGCTGACAATTGGTTGTTGAAGGGCACAAGAACCTCGTTCGAAACGTAGTAGAACAGCAGTCCAAACGCAATCGAAATGGGAAGCGCAGGGAGGGCACGTCGATAGATTGCGAGCAGCACAAGCGTGAGACAGAGGCCCTGTTGTGGCATCAAGAAGCGTGCGTTGGTATTTCAAAAAAAAAAAAAAAAAAAGACTGTGATGTCACGCAATGCTGATTACGTACCACAAGAATGGCAAAGAAGCAGGACAGAATGGTGCTCCAGTTGTTGGAGACGGAGGCCTTGCCAACAAGCACACTGTAAAAGATAAAGTCACCAAGACCAAGCTTCACACCGTGCTCTGTCGTGCAGAAACATGACAGTGAGCACGAGCAAGCATGAAAATGCGACAATGATGAGCTGCTGTACGTACCCTCGTCGTCTTCCGCAGGGGCAGTCGAGTCTTGGCTTTGCTCGGCAGCAGCGGTGGCGTTGGTGGCCTCATCTTCATCAGCGGCAGCACCAGCATTGGTGCCAGTTCGGCGCTGGCGAGCGGCGGCGGGCGCGGTGGGCTGAGCAGTAGACACTGGGGCGGCCTCGGGGTCATTGCGCTAAACAAGCGATGATGAAAGTAAGTCGAAAGAAGGCACAGCACAAACCAAGACAAAACAAACAAACAAACAAAAAAAAACCCTACAGCTGCCTGCAGCTGCGGAACCTCCTCGGCATCTTCCGAAGGAACGGGCTTGTCGACAGCGGCAACAGCAATCCAAGCCATTGTGGCTACAAGTCAAGCACACGATCGAGTGAATATGAAATGGCCAACGAACTTGCAATAAAAAAGGAAAATGTCGATCGTACAGGAATAGATCAAAGCGGGGAAGATCGGTTCGTTACGCTCCTGAGCAGTTTCGACGAGGACCTTGAGAGGACCACGCGGGCACAGCACGGCAAACAAATCTAAAGCGACAAAATAGCCAAAATGAGTCTGACAGGCCAAAAAAAAAAAAAACCTTCTTCGCTGCACTCCCGGGACGCACCGTAGACGGCAATGGCGGCAAGCAACACCCAGGTAGTCCACTCAGGAAGATGCTTGATCAGGGTCAGAGCCAACAGCGCAGAAGTCGTAATCAGGTAGGCTTGCTGAAGCAGGAGAGGAGCCTTCCAGTGAACGGCGACCACACCCACGCACCCAAAGTTCCATATGACGAACGCAAAGGTGACCCAATCCATTGCCACATTGTACCGATCAAAGACGAGTCTGAAAAAAAGGAGAAAAAAAAAAACAAAGTCGCGGACGAGTTAGCACGAGACAAAAAGCGCACGTCAACTATTTGGATCAACGGCTTACTCGAGGTAAATGTAGGTAAACAGGAACAAGAGCATGACGGTCGAGAGGAAGAGCCACATCCAGATAGCCTACCACCGCACAAAAAAAAAAAAAGAGATTTTAAAAAATCGAAAGCAAAAAAACGAAAGCAAAAAAAAAAAAAAAAAACCCGCAGCAGCTCCAACCTCAGCTCTCAGACACACAAAACACGCATTACCTTGTAGCAACGGTACTTGTACAGCAAAACGAGAACACACGTCATGACGAGAATGACACCGACGATAATCAGGGCGTTGATGATGGCGCCGCCGAAATTCTCAGCGCCAGAATCCGAATCTTCCTTGAACGCAATGTACGCGAGGTAGTCGCCGCTGTCCTGCGCATAGTACGTGATGGACTGGATGGACGCGACGACAATGGCCATGCACAGCGTCACTGGCACGATCAGCGCCATGACTTCCTTGGCGCCGTACTTGAGCTCCTCGTCCTCGTCCTCTTCTTCTCCTTCGGCAGCATCGCCAGCGGCATTAGCGCCAGCGTTGGGCGAGCCAGCAGCATCCGTGCGCTCGTTGCCATTGAGGCTGTTTGCATTGCCCTGCGGCGCAACGGCACGACGCGGCGGTTGAGGAGCGGCAGCAGCGCCAGGCTGCGAATTCTGGGTTGCAGCGGCGGACTGCTGCCTGCGACGCTCCTGCGCGTCCTCGAGCAGCTGCTGCGATCGCTGTGGCTGTACAGAGATACGTGTGAGATGACGATGGTCCAATGGCGGCAGCAGAATCGTGAGAATTTGCGAATAAAATAGATCAAAAAATTTGAAGCAAAAGACACAAAACAACGATGAGTGAGAACTTGGCTGGAAAAGTGGTCAAAAAACGACCGAAACCAAAAAGAGCGACGCAACGCTGCTGATATCGATGGTGTTGGTGGCGATGACGGTGGCGGAGGAGAAGAGGCAGCAAAGCGAGAGGGAAGAGCGAGCGAGCGAGAGAATGGAAAAACAACAAGAGTCGTACCTGCGTTGGGCTCAGGAGCAGCTGGTCAGTGCTGCTGACGGAAGACACGCTCTGGGTGTCAAAGTTGCCACGCGAAGCCATCTCTGCGTTGAGCGGAGCGGCGGCGGCAGAGGACGAGAAGGAAGACGAAGAGTAAGGCGAAGAACCGAGTGCGGCAGAGGCAGTGCGACGACGCTGTTGATCCGACGAGCTTGAGCTGGCGGGGTTGCTTGGGGTGCCGGTCGTCGTCGTCGTCGTCGAGTAGGACGGGGCTGGGGCAGAGGTCGGCGAGGAAGGGGTCAGCAGCGGAGTGTCTGCAGTCACAGAGTCGGTCGAGTCGGTCGAGTCGGAACGGGCGAGCTTGCCTCCACTGGACATTCAGCCACAAACGGGAAAGCAGGTTGTGGGGGGGGGGGAGAGGATGATGCGAGGGTTGCTAGCAAGAAACAACAACAACAAGGCTCGGAGAACTGAACAATGACAACGACAACCAGAGAGAGAGAGAGAGAAGGAAAGAGTGAGCCTCAAGAGTCTGAGAATTGACAGTGCGTAAAGGTGAAGATGGATGTATGAAATTGTAATGAATGATAAGCGTACTTTGACGGGGATCAGTCTGCTCTCATCACTCTGTTTGGTCCGTCGTTCTACATCTAGACTTGCAATGGCGCTGCCGACCAAGCTCCAAGTCGATCGAAGCCTCATCAATCCAAAGTTTGATGGCTACAAACTGGCGCCATTGAGCGCATCTTCATCCAGCCAACCGAGCACTCATAGCACGAGTAGTAGCGCGATGGGCGGTGGTGCGACAGTGAGCGGCATTGCGCTCCCGCCAAGCAGCCTCCGTCCATGTAAGGCTAGATGCAAGAAGCGCTCGATCCGCTCAATCTTCCAACAGCCACGCACTCACTGAATGAATCTCGTAATGACTCTGGTGCTTGTTTGCTACTTTTAGTGCTTGTCCAGCCGAACGCAAGTCGCCACTTTGCGCTCAACTACTTGTCGCAGTTTGTCGCGCACAACCACCTCGTGGCGGATCCGTTCGATGCGGGCCAGGACGGCGAACTCGCCTATTACATTGACCAGCAGTGGCAAGTCGTGCGCGTACTCGCTCCCCACGCGGTCGAGCAAGACCAGCCGTGCGCTGTGGTGGAGCATGTCGCTGCTTCGATTCAAGCGCCCGTTTCAGCGGCTCCTGCGCACGATCCATTCAATCCGACAATCTCCTTCCCAAGCGCACATCTTGCAGTGATTGCAGACGGCCTCGATCGGCTCCTGCTGTTCGACCGCACCTCAAAGCCCTGGCGACAGCTCGTGTCGACGTCGGTCGTCGTTCGAGGCGTTGACGGCAAAACGTCGCCCCTCGCCCCGCTTGTGGTCCGATCGACTGTCATGGATGCAAAGCAATCCAGTACAGTCGTGTGCTTGGTACAGACAACAGAAGAACGGCCTGCGACCAAGCCAGGCGCGGACACTTGCCTCGTCGGATTGCACGTTGTGCGTGTTTCTGTGCCACCCGTCGACAGCGCTCCCGCAGTCAACCCTTCAGCTACTGTAGCATTCTCGTTGATGACACCGGCGTCCCCGTTCTATGCTCATTTAGATCCGGAACAAGGCAGTCTGGTTGTTGTGACCGACCGAACTTTGACTTCCACCCATCATCCTGCCGCCACCGCCGCCGCAACCCAAGCCAGTTCCGCATCGGATCCAAAAGCAAATACCACACACGCAAGCGCTGCTACTCCAGCAACCCCTTCCGCTCCATTCACTTGGTCACAGCACGTGAGCGAAGTTTCAATCCAAATTCCCGTTCACCGAAGCGTTACCAGCAAGCAAGTGTCGTGCAAGTTTGAAAGCGAACATCTCAAAGTGACGGTACGCGGAGCTGCAACGACAGAGGTTGTGCCGGTCGACTTTGGCGGCGCTCTCTTTGATGAGGTCGATCCGGATGAATGCACCTGGAGCATTCAACGCCCGGCCAACGGTGGCCAACCCTTCTTGGAGGTTATCTTGGTCAAGGTTGCGGAAACACGCATGACTTGGACCCGTCTGTTCACAGATGGACCCTTCAACCATGTTGAGGCAACGTTGAGCGATGCCCAAAAGGTCGCCATCGCCGCCAGCCTCGCCAAGTACACGACCGACGAATCCGAGCAAGATATTCGAGCCGCGTCCAAGCGAGGACTTGGCTGGTCGGCGACGCCGACTTCCCAGCCAACCGCAGCGCCAGCATCGGCGTCAGCACCATCGCAGAGCAAAATTGAAGAACTGATCGACGATGAGGATGATGGACAGCCAATCGTTGGTTCCGATGCTGCTGCTGCTGCTGCTTCCCATCCACAACAGCCGACAGACATTCCTGAAGATTATGCAGCAGGGGCCTTTGCCCACACGGTCGAGGAGTGCGACTTTGACGACGTGGACAGCAGCAATCTGGCTCTGAGCGTGTTTGACTCGCATGGCCACTGCACCAGTACTCTGGCGCTCGACAGCGCACAGTTCTTGTTCAGCACTGCTGCCTCGCGCTTGCCATCTGGCTCTGTTGCGTTGCCCGCCTTTGCTGTGCGGTACAATGTCGACGGAGTCGTGTTTTCCGTCCACCCGTCCCAATCTCAGCGGTCTATCGCGCATCACTCGGCCACCTTCAACGCGTTTGGCTATGTGCAAGCGTCCAAGCGCGAGAAGAAATTCCTAGGAGGCGCGGCCGACGGGCGGTTTGCATTCCTGTGCGAGGCCAGTCGGCATCTGTTTGTGTTTGAGCAGCCAGGCACAACTGGGTCTGCCACAAGCAGCAGCTCTTCTGCCAAGCAAACGCTGCCAGCGTTCCCCTTAGCTCCAAGCCAAGCCACGACCGCTCGCCAATTCCTTGCACCGATCGAATCTGGCGCAACCGTTCTTGGTGCCGCTGTCGTCAACCGAGCCATTCTTGCCCTGACGGAAGACTACCTGTCTGTTACTCGTGTGCCATGATCTTCTCAAATGGGGGTTTGATGATGTGTCCTATTGGTACAATAAATAATGACAAGCAGCCAGCTCAGATACTTTGTTGTTTTCACGATTGGCAGGTGCTTGTCGTTTTGGTTTTGGCCCGTAGTTTGACATGAGCGCTCTTGGACGATTGTTTACTCAATGTAGCCGAGTACCAATGCAATCATGTATGCCAACGCGACGAGTAGCAGCGCGACGATCGCTGTTTGGCGGTTTTCCGCTCGCAATGCTTTCAACTGCGATTCTGTGCAAGCGAAACAAAAAAAAAAAGTTCAACCCATACACAATGAGCCATCAGTAAGAGCATTTTCGAATGAGGTACTGATCAATGATCACTCCAGTGGGCTCAATGGGCTCAATGGGCTCAATGCGTTCAACGATCGACCCCACAGCCACTGCACCAACCACCAACGCCCCGATCCGATCATGGCTCCAAGTTAGCAAAAAGCCCAAACCTGCGTTGGATCCACACTTACGCAGTTGTGCGATTTCGGCCTTGACGGCGTCGCGATCGCGTGTGAGCTGCTCCACGAGTGCGGACTGTGGATCCTGCTGCTCGCTCTGTGCTGATGTGGACTCGCCCTCATGTGTTACTGCTGCTGCTGGATCTGTCTGCTTCTGCTTGTGTTGCTGTTGCTGTTGCTGTTGCTGGTGCTGGCGCTGCGCGGCTGCGAGTTGCCGCTCAATCGAGAGCAGCTTTGGCTCGACTTGGCGCGTAATCTCTGCTTCGAGTCGCTCAATGCGATCCACCACTGAAGTCATCAGTGAACGTGAATTGAATTGAATTCAACCAAAAAATGAATGAGCGAGTGAATGGAAATCCCCCAATGATGCGCAATTTCAATGAGAAGGATGAAGCTCAGAATGCTCAGAATTCTCAGATTTTCACCAAGAACTCAGTCCTTTTTCCCTCTCTTCGATTTCAACAGACAGAACCACTACAACAACAAAAACTCCTGATGACAAAGCGGCGCATCGACGACAGCGAGGATTCGGACGCAAGCTTTGGTCAGGACGACAATGATCGGAGCAAGGACGCGACGCCGCAGCGAGCGAGCAAGCGACCGCGCGCTCAGAGCAAGGCGTTGGTCGAGAGCGACAGCGACAGTGAACCAGAACGCAGTCGCAGTCGCAGTCGGAAGGGAGCGAGCTTGGACGACGACGAGGACGATGAGGACGATGAGTTTGGCGGGAAATCCGCTTCAAGCCGATTTGGCGGGAAATCCACAGCACCAAGCCTGAAGCCAGCGACCAGTTCGGCCAGCTCGACTGGCTCGCGTCCCAAGGCGGCTGGACTGGGCCTGTCATCCGTGTTTGACTTTGATGACGAGATCGGGAACGACGACCGCGCTGCCAAGCCGAAAGCCCGAGCGACGCCCACGAAGACGCCGACCAAGACGCCAAGCAAGCCCACGACGCCGACGCCGGCCGCCAAAGTGGAACGAACGCCGTCGCAGATCAACAAGCCAGGTAATGGTTTGTGTTTCTTTGGTTTAAGCGCACGCCAGAGTGTTGCTCACTGATCGGTGGGTTTGGAACAGGATTGTCGCCTTCTGCTCAGGCGCTTCGACTCAGCTCCGCGACTGCTGCCACGCTCCAACGCAAGCCAACGCGAGAGGTTGATGCCGAAAAGGAAGACGCCACCCCGCGCATGGATTCGCCCGCCAAACCAGTCTCATCCCGGCGTTTGGTCACCGAGACGACGACGCCAGCAAGCTTAGCCTCGGTTGTTGTTCTGGACGACTCGGAAGCCGATTCCGTTGCACCCATGAACATCGTTGCACCCAAGACAAAGTCTATTGCTGCCGCCACGCCGAGTAAAACGGTTGCCGCTCTGACAAAGACCGTGTCTTTGGAGCCGGAAGCGCCGAAATCTGCAACAAAACCAGCGATCGCTGCTCCAGCTCTCGCCCATGCATCCTCTGAAACCGCAACGCCAAAGCAACCTGCAGCGAAAAAGACACCCATTGTCCCCATTCTCGCCCCGTCGTCTGACGAAACCCGCGAGCAGCAGACGGAGTCCAAACGGTAGGGCTATCCGAGTTCTTGCTCGCGAGCTGACACTGACTCTCACTTGTTGATTTTGGTTGGATCAGTCTGCGTGAGCGCGCTGCATGGCTGAAGATGTTTTCATCACGAAAGACCAATCTGGATGGCATCGAGGTGCCAAAACTGCCAGCTGGTAAACGCGAGTTTGATGATGCTGCTTGCGTCTACACCATCTTGTTGTACTTCTCACTTTTTGTTGTATTTTGATTTGCGCCAGTCTTGCGGGACTGCCATGGAGCAGATATTGTTCGAAAAGGCGGAGCTCGCAAGGAACGCTACCTCATCTCATTTCCAGGACAACTTCAGGGCTTGACCTCGAGTGGCACCCCCACAATCGGGTCGCTGGCCAAGCTGAACTCGCCCAATCCAGTCATGTATCTCGACTTTCCTGAGGTAAAGGTTGTTGATGTCAGAGGTGTTTTTTTTTTTTTTTCTCTTTTCTAACCATGCAGGATCGCTCACTTGCATCAATTGCTCAAACAGGGTCGCCTCAAACTCTTTGGCACATTGGTTTTCACCAATAGCAAGTTTGTAGCGCTGCAAGCCAAGAAGCAAGGTTGGTTTTTTTTTTGTTGTTTTCGGTTTGGATTTAGTTGCGAAATGTCGCGCCTGGACCCCCTCACTTGGTACACACTTTTCGTTGACCTCCGCGTTTTCCCCTCAGCTATTCAATGCGAGGACGTTTTCGACAAGGTTGTCACGTTTTCCGAGGCCACTTGGATTGGCCATCTCCAGGACAATCCGAACGAAGACCCATTGCCCCTTCCCGCATCGCTGATTGGCTTGGCCTCAGCAGCTCCGCCGTCGGTCAGTGCATCCCGGAGCCACAGCGCCTCTGCTGGAGTAGACATTCGTGACTTTTTCCGCGGTACTTCGGCCGCCCAGCCAACAGGCATGCCGGATTTGAGTGGCGACACGCCTCCAAGCAGTCAGACATTGGGTCGACGAGCCGTTCGCCGCCCACGCTACAATCCCGACTTTGGCGATGACAGCGACGCGAATGGCAGCGATCGTGACGATGGCGAAGCAAGCGCGGACGACGAGTTTGTCGCCTCGCAATCGTCCACCCGCCCGCGGCGGAGCGCGGCAGCTCGTGCAGCTGTTGTCGAGTCATCCGATGAAAGCGACAATGCCGAAGATGATAATCCCGACAATGAGCCTGAGCACACTGCAAATCCGGAGGAGGAAGACGAGAGCGAGAGCGACGCTGCGCCGATGGATGTTGATGAAGATGAGGATGATGATTAAGCTGTCGATTCTATGTATCTCAGAGCCATGGAGGTCTGTCTGTCTGTCTGTCTTATGCGATGAAAATGTACTGCACTTGCACTCCATCTTTTCCATTACCAGTTACCTATTATTGGGGAATGCTTCGTGGAGCAACAGTGCTGAGTGGGCGAGCCGCCGCTGCCGCCGTGATGGCGACCGTCACCACAACGCGATCTAAATCCTCGCTGATCATGTCGCGCATGCTCAACCAGGAGATGAAGCAACTGGCGGAGCAGCGCAAGCACGAAGAGCGCGCGCGGCTGAACGAGCTCAAGCAAGCCAAAACGACCGAGATGCAGATGCTGATTGCCGAGATGCAGCGACCGTCCCCGCGAGCTCAGAGTGCGCAGCAGAGCAATGCTGCAAGTGCGTTGTCAGCAGCCGCGGGTGCGAGTGCGCCGCCGGCAACGTCGAGCTCAGGCTCGGTCTTGGCGCAGCAACACGAGGCCGAGACGAAGGTTGACATGTCATCCAGCACTGCCAACGCCAACCGGAGCGCATCGTCGGATGGTGCAGGCGATGATGTAACGAGCACCGAGAGTGCTGCTGCTGGTGCTGCTGCGAGTCGCGGTCGAGGCCGACGGACACGAGCTCGACTGGCTGCCATGAAACAGTCAGACGAGACGGCGGATCACACGGCCGATGCCCCTGCCGGCCACCGCAGGCCATCCCTGGGGATTGGCGCAGACCAGTACTTGAAGCAGCTGCAAGAGAAGGAGCCGCCGCAGGCGCGCGGTCGCAAGGGTGGACGTGTTGATGTCAACTTGGACCAGAATCTGAGCGGCGATGGCGAGCGACGCTTGGATCTGAGCAACCCAGCTGACTTGAAAGAGTCCATTCGTCGTCGCATTGCACAGTGGCAAAAGCCGGGAAACGCCTACAAGCCCACAGAGCCAGATTTGCAGTTTGCCAACCGATTGTTCCAGCTTCCGTCGCAAATCGTTACTTCCACCTCTGATATTGGGCTCCATTCTCCTCCCGAAAAGTATCCCGAGGTAGGTTGGGGGGTTTTTCTTCTTTTTTTTTTGGTTGCAAGTGCTCTTTGCGCACACAGAAGGTTGCCTCACGCTCACTCACCTGAAATTGTCAGTTTGCCGTCATTGGCCGCAGTAATGTTGGCAAGAGCTCGCTCATCAATGCCCTTGTTCATTCGACCACTCTCGTTCGAACCTCTGCCACCCCTGTACGTGTTGGGTGTTGGTTTTGTTCGAGAACTTTTTTCACTTGACCGGGTTTGTGGCTCATCATGCTTCGTTTCTTGTCTTTTCATTCGCTCAGGGCCACACCAAAACACTCAACTTTTTCAGCATTGGAAGGCGAATCGGCGTTGTTGATTGCCCTGGATATGGCTATCGCGCACAAGAGGAATGGATGGACAACCTGGGTACCATGCTTTCAACGCGCTCGACCATTCGCCAGGTTTTGCTGTTGATCGACCCGATGCATGGCTTGAAGACGACCGATCTTGAGGTGATGCAGCTGCTGGAGGAGCTCGAAAAGCCATTCCAAATTGTGTTTACCAAGAGCGATCGCATGGATGGCAAGCTGGACATGGCCGTGATGCGAGCCACCGAGATTATTGCTAGACAAACCACGCACTGCATGCCATTCCCTTTCCCGGTCAGCGTGCTGCAAAACAAGGGCCTGGGTGTGTTGCGCCACTCGATTCTTCGAGCGCTTGACGTCAACAAGGACAATTGGCGACCGCAGCTCGAGCGTCCTTCCGATCTTCGCGCTGCGGCCAGAGCAGAGGCAGCGCAGCCCAGTTCATCGGACGATGATGCCCCTCCAGCAACGGTGGCGAAAGCCCCGCCTTCAGGTCCGCTGTCCGGCAAGGCGGCGCTGAAAGCCGAAATTGTGCGCTTGGCTCAAGAGCTCAAGGAGATTGAGCAGATGGCTGCGGAATTGCCCGAGACGCAGCTCATGTCACTCCGAGAAGAGAAGGACCAGCAGCGACGCGAGCTCAAAGCGGCTCAGCTCGGCCAGAATGAGGACGAAGACGACGAGGATGAGGATGGAGACGACGACGATGATGACGACGATGATGACAGCGACGATGACAGCGACGACGACGATGATGATGATGATATGCAAGCGTCAGAGCTCGCGGACGAAATGCGCGCGTTTGACGAATGGCGCGAGCAAACCCAACAAAGCCGGAACCAATCGTGGGCGCGCATCATGAACGAGCCAGCTGCGAAATCGCCCTCTGGAGGTCGTGGTCGACGACGATAGCTTTGTGCCCCCAACAAACGATGACCTTGTGAAACGTTGTATAACAGTATATTTGCTTTGTGTCGTCTGGCCGAGAGAGTTAAAAAAAAAAAAAAAAACAGCCAACAAAAACAAATCCAGAATTGGCCTAGTCAACACGAAGAGACGCAGAGGCGTAGGAAACAGAGCTGTCACGCTGGGTCTTGCAAGCACTCGATTGTGCATACTTGACGAACTTGAGATTGGGTTGGAAGGCGGTGTCGGTTGTGCGGACTGCGCGAATTGCCTTGATGATCCCAAACAAGAAAATGAGCAAGCGCAGCAAATGCATCTGGAGGGCGGGGTGGGGGTTAGGGTTGAACAAGTAAAATCCAGTCGGAACGTACCTGCAACAACACTCCGATGGGATGGCGGCCGCAAATAGTGTTCTTGGTCGATTTGAGATAGGCCGCAAAACCATCGCAGTCGAGTCGCTCAATCAGCGCCATGCCCTGGTGATCCAGAATGTTGATGGACTCGTGGATGGGCACTTGCGACGAGGTGGTGTAGGTATAGTTGAATCGCGAGCCCCAGTGGCAAAAGTCTGAGCTCACGACAAAAATGTTGGCAGGATTGGCGAGGTACGGGGCGAGGATTTTGCCGTACACGGCCTCCTTCTCTGTCGCCAGGGCGCCCACAAGAATCGGGACGATGGTAGCGTTGGCATTTCTGTGAGGGGGTTGCATTTGCCGTTGAGCGACTCTCTCCGAGGCAGTGTGCACACAAACAAAATGTTACATACTTGTTAAAGACTTTGCGAATGTATGGCAGGTGCATCTCAATGCTGTGCTCTTCTTCGTCCACGCTCTTGGTCATGAATTCGAACGACTGTGTCGCGTTCAGTTCCGCAATGACTAGTGCATGTGTTGGAACGTGGAATGTGAGAGATTGAACAAGACAAGTTGTCACGATTCGGAGAGCGACCTTACTGGCTGCATCCAGCTTTAGATTTCCCAGCGGAGTTGCGTATTCCGTGCAGCGGGAGAGTGCACATCCTTTCAGGTAGACGTGATGGGATGGCCCCAGGATGAAGACGCGTTGCCTGTTTTTTTGTTTGTTTTTTTTTCGAAATGAGTGCAAGTTGGGCAGATGAGCGTATCACATGCTCGGCATGATTGCATACACGTTGTCAGGAATGATCTGCTTGTACGCGAACGCTGCCGTCGGACCACTGTAGCTGTATCCAGCGTGTCTGAGCCAATACGGTTGAGGTCAGAAGATTGAGTTGAGCTCGCTCGCTGCTTTCAGCACCCGACTGTGTGACTCCGAGCAATGTTATTACTCTGCGCTCTGTTTTGCTAATTGTTGTTTTTCCCCTTACGGCGCAATGATGGCTCGGGCTGGTGTGTGGTTTGAGTCGGCGTCGGAGTTCGCAGCAGCGAGCCAGCCGTCCAGCTGCGATTCCAGCCGCGCGCCTGCGCCAAGATGACACCAATTGGCAAAGGGGTCAGTTGACCAACGAGCCATGCATCCAACTCGAATGTGCATTGTCCAGGTGGTCAGGACTTGGATGGGGGATGCGAGCTGATGACGCGTTTCACTCACCGCCTTCGTCGTACCAGCTGCCTGCGTGGGAAGCCTCGCGCACAATGCTCGACATTTTTTTTTCGTTTTGGCAATGTTACTTTGCTCGCGTAGTAGTTGCTTTCTATTGCTTCGTGTTCGAACTCGAGCGAACGTCAGCTGGAAAGTAAGCAAAATGACGCAAAACAAAATGACTGCGAAAATGTGGCAGCTTCCAAACAAGGCAACAACATGATCACAACTGCGGTTTTGAGGGCGAAAAAATAAGAGTCGGGAAGAATGGGGCAAAATGCATAAATTGCTGTTACGGGTTGAGGAGGAGAAGTCGCCGGGAATGTGGAAAGCCGGAATTCGACTGTGTGTGCGATCGGAAGTCGCTCGAGTCGAGCATGCTGGAACTCACACAGATGAAAGACAATCTGCTTCTACGAGTCTGATGAGTAACGTGCTGTCAGTGCGCTGGGCACGGAGCTCGTCAAGTCTTTCAACAATTTGATTGATCGACCACCATTTTGGAGGGAAGCACCTCGACTTCCTGTCTCTGGACATTGCGTGCTCGTGTGCTTGTACTTGTGTTTGCTAGCGCTGGTGTTCGTTCTGTAACAGTTGTCGCTTCCGGTTGCCGTCAACCAAACTCCAAAATCCTGAAATATGATAATTGCGGTAAATCGCAATAAGGGCCCTTCCCTCCCTCAGCCCCTAAACTCCTTGTCCTTGTCAAAACAATGCAAAGCGAAAACCCAGATTGTCTTTGTTGCACAGCTGTTGTACAAGAGAGGCTTTCGAGCAACTGCTAAAAACAAAGTCAATCAGAACAAGCAGCCATGAGACTATGGGAAGGCGCCGCCCGACTGTCCATGGCAATCACACAAACCATTCAACACACAGAGAATAACAGATGTGAGCCCTTGCACATCAAAAAAGCCTCAGCAGCAGGTGTTTGGCAACAAGTCTCAGCGCTCCTTTTTACCTCGACAATGCGGATTTCCTCTTGCGTCAGAGCGTGCCTCCGTTGTCGCAGCAGGGAAGCAGCAGTGTATGGCACGTAGGATGCAAGTGATCGGTAGCGGGATGACGAGTTTGCCTGGCCAGCAGCGCTGTTCGGGATTGTCACCGCTTGCTTGGCAAAGATGCTTGCATTGATCGGGTACATTGCTGTGAACCAAGTCCAAAAAAAAAAAAAAAAAAATTCAAAGTGAGCGATTGCACTTCACCATTTGACAGCATTGAGCTTGATCTTGGAGTGGAGTGATGGTCCAGCAGCGAAAGCGGGCGAAAGGGGGCCACAGTGAGAGAACGAAGTGGACCCAACTTGGATGACCGAGTCCCTGGGTCTGACTTTGCTTCATGATTCAAGCAGCGGAGTGTGTCCTCACTCAACACGCTGACAGAGCCGAGTCGAGAGTTGGGTTGGGTGGAAACGGGGACCCCCAGAGGAGACCAGCGAGAGAGAGAGACAAAGAGGGCGAGATCTCGCTTTCCCTTCTCTCTCTCTCTTGCTCACATTGCTGCTGCAGTCTCATCCAAACGCAATGCACAAGTCACTCCACGCTGAAAAGGCATTTCGAAAAGTGCCCCGGTCGCTTGGTTCCTCCCTCTCTCTGGCCGACGCTAGCGAGAGACTGAACCCGTTCACTTCACTGTCACACTGCCCTTCGCTTCGCTTCCTGACGTACCAGAGCCGTCGGGCATGCGGCGCGCGGGAAAGGCAATCCGCGGGATGTGCTTCAGGACGGTTGCCGGAGCGAATGCAGCAGACGCAAAGAGCGATCGCATGGTTGTTGCTATTGGATTGAGTGTGTTGAGAACTAGACTGAGCGTCAGTCAGATTCACTCAGACCTGATGAATAAGGGGCGCTTATCTTTATCGGTTCATAACGGGGGAACTTCTCAGCTCAGTCTTGCCTTTCTTGCCTTCAATGTCTCGCGCTGCTCAGTTGGACGAGCTCGAGGCGCTTTTGCAAGATGAGCAGACTGGCCGAGCAGCGTCATCGTCGCCATTGCTATTGGACATTCACTCGAGCAACCCTGAAGCTGTAGCCGAAGCCGACGCTGACGGAGGAGGAGTTGCCGCGGCAATGACAGACTGCCTCGCGCGCTGGATGTCGCGACCAGAGTCGTCGCAGCCAGGGTCAGCCACCGCACTCGCGCGGCTGCTCCTCTGCTCTGGATCTCCACGACGCGTACGGAGGCTTCTGACGCATCTGGGACGCCAGCACGCGCAGGTGGCGGCGGGATCGACCCTCCAAGCGCTGGCCGCTCGGTTGCAATGCGTACCGTTGCCCGATCTCCTGCTGCTGCTCGTCGACTCGCTGGGTCGATCATCCGTAGAAGCAAGTCATTCTGAATCCATTGGGTTTGCATTGGCCCTCCTGGATGACACGGTGCGCTCGCGAATCACCGCCTCTGCGCTCGCCCTTGCATTCACCGTGGTTGACGCGCCAGCGCCATCGCCATCGCCCTCTGTCGCAAGCACCCAGCAGCTGAATGCCAATCGGCACTTGCTTACGTTAATCGTGTCGTTGCCCGACCGGGTCGCGAACGCAGTCCGTGGCCGGGTTGAACTTCCTCAAATTCTCGCCTCCACCGACGCCTACATCAACCACTTGTTAGAGGCAGTCATTCTGCCCGTTGTTACTGCGGCAGGTCTGCAAACGCTGCGTGCAAGCGTGGAAAAGCTCGCCCTTCAGAAACCCGCCTTTCAGGATTGGCTCGCCCAACTCCGCCGACCAGATGCGTTCGTTCCGACTTTGAGTACGATTAATCTGGTGGTCGAGCTATTCTCAAGACTTGGCAAACTCGGACACTTTCGTCGCTTGTGCCCGCGCGTCGCTCCAGTCTTTACATTGTTCTTTTCCATCGCCTTGCAGCAAAGTGCCGCCACTTCCACTGAATTTGCGCAACTGCAAACGCTTACTGCTCGCTTTTTCCGCCCCGTCGATGACGCCTTAGTAAGCGCGTGTGTCTATGCCTGGCTACTATGCGCCGATGAAACGGTGCTTCCTGGCGTCAAAGCTCTGCCTTGCCTGTCCGCGCTTCTCGCCTCGCAACTCTCCAACTGTTGGACGTTGCCGAATGCGACCATTCTAGACGCGTCGCTGCACTATATTATTGTCGAACGGTGTTTGATGGGACACCAGCCTCTGAGCGTACCCGCATTGACGGTTCTGCTCGACGCTGTTGCTTGCGTCAAGAGCCAGCCCTTGCTGCCCCTCACCCGCCGCCTCCTGACGTACTGGGGCATGCCAGCCACTGTCAAGCGCTCTGCGTACGACCAACACTTGCAGCTTTCGCAAGTATTGCTACTGTGCCTAGCTCGGCTTTCTGATGCGATCGTAAAACCGCTGGCCTCGGAAATTTTGGCGTCGCTGGTGGGCTCGGTGCAGACTCACCTCGAGAGCCCGCTCATTCGGGTTCGACAGCTCGGCATGATCACAGCAGAGTGTTTTGCCGCGCGCCTGGCATCGACAGACAAGCCTCTTTCCTTCCAGCAAGCCGACGACGAGCTTTCGATCTTGCTGCGTTCGTTGGCGCAGCCGGTTGCTTCAAAGGATGTTGTCGCCAAACTGCCAGAGCCTGACGCCTTACAATTCAGCGAGATTTCGTCGCATCTTGCTCCTACGCTGCCTACTTCCTACATTGCTTCCTCGTTCCGGCTTTTCGTGCCAAGCTCTGCCGTCGCGGCTTTGCCGACTGTTGCTGCTGCTGCTGCTGCTGCTGCCACGACCGCTACACCAACACCTTTGCATTCTGCTCAAAAACGAATGATTACAGTGCTCAGCAGCACGCCAAATCCAAACACTTCATCCGACCCTTCCTTGGCTGCTGCAACTCCAACACTCGACGACGCAGATTCTGCCAACGATCTCGACGACGACGAGTTTGTACCTTACGCACTAGTTGATCCAGCCGATCGCGTCGAGCGAGTCGACACGGCCAATCCAAGGCAGACGCCGTCCGTTCCGATCGCAGACCGTCCCCAGCCTCGCGCGGCTGTCAAGCCTCCCAAATTCTTGCGAGATTGCGCTCAAGGATTAATTGCACGCGACGATGTACCACGCGTGGAAGCCTCTCTGCAAGCTGTCGAGTCGCTTCTGACTACCAGTCCCATGGAGCAAGACGATGTGAGCGTTGAAATCTGCAAAATGCTGCTCTACCTTCACAACGAGCACAGCATTGCCAAGTTTGAAGAGCTGCGCATGCGTGGAATGGTAGCTGCATGCGTTCGCGCCCCTGCTGACGTCGCGCGGTACCTTTCTGCACAGTTCTATGTGCGCAACCACACGCTCAGCCAACGCACAGACATTGTGGACGTGCTCTGCAGCGCTGCGAAGGCGTTGGCGATGGGCAAGATGGCGGTGACTCCTTTGTCGCGCGAGTCCTTGACTGCCCAGCTCAAGACTGCCCAAGCTCAGACCAAGCGGGGCTTTGGCCGGGACGCGCTGCAACAACCACAGATCACATCTGTGTCACAAGATTCGCTCAATTCGCAGTCTTTCGTAGCTGCAGGCAAAGTGGTTCGCGCCTCCACTGCCTCGCTGAATGCCCGCACGGCTGGCAAGGTTGTCTGGCGAAATCGGCTCCAAAATGTCGCTGGCTGGTTCTTTTACCCATTGCTGGAAAAGTTTGACAGCGACACTGGCGGCAACTTGTTTGGGCTTTTGGGCAACGAAGGCGTGTTTGTGCTTGGCCGCCTTTGCCACGGACTGGGTGTGATTATGCACTGTGCATCGAATTGCACGGACGCCCCGCCCATGGCTCGAGCGCTGATGGCTTTTGTCTGGGCGCTGCGAGGGACGGAGCATGCCTACGTTCGTCGTGCGCTGGTGTTTTGCGTCAACATGGTTCTTCTGGCTGTTCCAGCGAGCATCCTTGTCGCTGACTTGGGGACGGACTTGTACGAGACGCAGAATTGGCTGGCTGGTAAGTTGTCGAGTTGGTTGAGAACGCGTTCAGCAGAAGTGATTCTGAAACTGGTTTTTTTTTCTTTTGCTCCTGATTTCTTTGAAACAGATATCATGCAACGTGATTCAGACGACGAATCGCGTGATCTGGCCGTCTCGGCACTTTCGGCGCTGTTGGAAGTGCTCAAGAGCGCGCCGGGCATGGAGGTGGGCGATGATTCTTAACGCGTGGCTGCAAACTTTCAATAATAATAATGTCATGGTTATTCATTCTGTTTGACCACAACACGTTCTTCCAATGCAACAAAAAACAATAATCTCTAGATTCATCAACATTTCAACAGCATACAAAAAATCCACGAACCTGCGTGGTCAATCAGAACAAAACAAAACAAAAACGGGACGAAAACAACATCCAGCAAAAAGCGTTTCTACACGTCAAAAACAAACTTGTTCAACAACAACACACAAGCACAAACACAATTTGAACGACTTCACGCCTAGCGAGCATGGAACTGAGACGTACTGGCGCTCCGCCCGCGACTGAACGACTTTCTGCGCTTCTTTTCTTCGTCCTCGTGCGCAGCGGATGCAGCAGCCATGGCGGCGGCATTGGCATCCATTTTGTCCTTGTCCGGACTGCTGGAGACACTCACTGAAAACCGACGCAGCGGGGCCAGCAATCGCTGCGAAAGGCGCGACGACGACATCCGACGCATAAAGCCTCCACCACGCGCAGCAACATCCGCTCGCTCATCCACAATATCAGTGTCTTCTTGGTGAAGCGACGCCTGCGAGCCAGCTGGCGAAAAGGAGCCGCCGCCGCCAGAAGAGGCCGGCGCGCCGAACGCGTTCAAAGCGCCAGTGCTGCCGGACATGGAGTGAATCGAGGTCATGGAAGCGCGTGATGCAAACGGCTCGGGAGTGCTCGCTCCGCTTCCCATAAGCACGCCATCCTCGTCGATCGGGACGCTTCGAGTGCTGATGAGCGAGCCGCGTGAAGAAGGCGAACTACGCAGCGTGACGCTGCGGTTGGCACCGTCGCAGATTTTCAGCATCATTTGCTCGAGCTGGGCCATCTTGTCTGTGCGCGTGCGATACTTTTGCAGCTCCCTGCTGACCATCTCGCTCTTGCCAGTGCCAGACGGGCAAAGGCAGACATCCTGGGACAGGGTGTGCACCATGTACGGCGTCTGCAAGCCTTCCGTGTCGGCAGCGACGACGGCGGCCGTGTCAAACAGCACCTTGGCGATGCCCTTGTCGGGGCTTCCGAGCTGCTGCGCGAGTACCGTCGGGTAGAAGAGCGAGCCGCGCGGAACGGACGTGCGAGGCTGAGAAGAGAAGGCCACCAAAAATCCCGGCGGGAGCGCCTTGATGGCACACAGCGCTGCAGTCGGCGGCTCGAGCCCGGCCAGACCTGCCGATTTAGCACCGAGCGCTGCTTGAAGCGAGATGGAAGCACGACGCATCACAGAGATTGGAGGAGTTGGAGGCGCGGGCGAGGTGGGCGTCGAGGATTCACTCGGCATCGGGCTCGGGATGCCAACGGGCACCACCTTGAGCGGGTTGCTGGCATAGCACGCGTCGAGGATGATGGCGGTTTGCGTGTCGGGGCCGGCAGACTCTGAAATCAGCGAGATAATGTCGGCGAGCGGGATGGCCACCTTGGCAAGCTCCTCGGGCCCGCCGCTCAAGGACGAGGGCTTGACGTGCACTGGCAGCAGGTAGTTTTCGCCCTGAAGATGGCACGCAAGCCCGTGGTAGACAAACAGAGCGAGTTTGGGTCGGTGGCCGCGAACCAGCTCGCAAAAGAGGTCGAGCTCGGCTAGGAACTTTTCGCGATGGACGTTCTTGGCCTCGACGCCGAGGCTCATGCCCGAGGCGATAAAGACGTGCGCACGCAGCGCTTCGTTGCAGGATTGTCGAGTCGGGCCCGAGGACATTTGGGCGGACGCCTGCGTCTGCTGCTGAAGCAGGGATTGGTGCTGTAAATGCTGGTGCAAGTTCGAGTACGAGCCGTGCGACCCGTTCGAGGTGACGGACGAGATCGAGTTGATGGACGTGGACGACGCGGCAATGGCCGAGTCGCGCGAGTCGCGTGTCATGGACGAGACGAGCGACGCCTGGCTGCCCGAATTGCTGCTGCTGCTGCCGACATTCCCACGAAAGTGCGGCACAATTTCAATGCCCGAGTCGCGCGACATGGTGGACAGGGACAGCGACGCGGATCGCTGGACTGCCTTGCGCACGTTATGGCTGCTGCTGTTGTTGTTGTTGTGGATTACTGACGACGGCAATCCCGCGCTGTTAATGCTGCCATTGCTTCCGTTCAATGCATTCGCGCTGCCACTGCCGCTGCCACTGTTATTGGAATGCATGGCCATGCTGCTGCCAGCCTGCGAGGAATGCGAGGAATGCGACGGCGACGGCGACGACGAAAAGGACAATCTGCCGCTCATTGCAGCAGCAGGAAGCTCCCCTCCGCTCGCAAGGGGTGCAGCAGTGGCAGCAGCAGAGGCAGCAGCAGCAGCATTGGGAATGAGGAAGGGCGGTGGTGCACCATGTGCTGCTGCCACATTGCTGCCCAGATTGCCTTTTGCGGCAGTGTGCGAATTCGCGCTCCCACTGCTGCCACTGCTGCCACTGCCACTGCTGCTGCCACTGCTCATCACAGAGCCGGGAATAAGGCCGTGGGGACCTCCTGCAGCGATGGCGAGTGCTGCTGCGGCGTGCGATGCGGCGGACGACGGGGTGGCGGGCGAGCTGATTGATGAGGTTGTTGGGCCGCCGCTCTGAGTCTGATTGTGATGAAGCAGATGATGATGATGAGGATGATGGTGGTGAGGGTGAGGGTGAGGGTGCTGATGATGGGAGCGGGACAGGCGTGATGCATCAGAGTGCTGCACACTGCCACTGCTGCTGCTGTGGTGCAGCATCGTCGTCGCGGTGGGGTGCGGGTGGGGCGAAGAAGCGGGGCCGCTGCTGCTGTTGTTGAAGAGCGCCGACGTCGACGCAGACGTGTGCAGTCCACGGGGTCCCTGCTGCTGCTGCTGCTGGGAGACGGATGCTGACGACGAGTAATGCTGATGCTGCTGGTGCGAGGGCGAGAACGAGAACTGCGTGTGCAGCGAGCTGGCCGACGCCGGTGTTGCTGGGGACGCCAATCCAGACGACATGGACTGTCGCCGATTATTACTGCTGCTGATGCTGCTGCTGAGGGGTGACTGTTGTTGTTGTTGTTGTTGCTGCTGCTGCTGCTGCTGCTGCTGTTGCTGCGCGTAGGCCATGGCTTGGGCGTGGGCAGGCGAGGCGGCCGCAGTCGGAGTTGCGGTGCCGGAAGCGCTTGCCGACAGTGCGAACGAGGCCGCGTCTGCCGCGCTGATGCCGTCGTCGCAGAGCAGCGCGGCAGGGTAGGCGAGATTGCTAATGTGGAGGTAGATGCAGTCCGACTTGCCCGAGGCGTCGAGGAGGTACCGCGCGTCCTGCGCCACAGCAACCGTCGCCATGGACGGAGCGACGCCAGCAAGATCAGCCGGCAATCCCGGTGGCAACGACGACAGCCGCACCATGTTGGTGATTTGAAAAACAAAAAAAAAAAGGAATAACAATAAAATAAAAAAAGAAGAAGAAGAATAAAACGCCGGAAAGTGAAGCGTCGCAGAACTGAATGAAAGCAAAGGACGAAGAAGCAGCGAAGATTTTAGCCGAATGATTCATAATCTTAAACAAAAGTCGCACATAAACGCAGCGGGTTCAAATCGGCTTTTATTGAGTATGATTTTAACAATGTGAGTGAGTGGAGAGGGTTGGGTGTGGGGCGGTGGGCACAGAGGAAATGCAGCTCGAGGGCTCAAAGGAACAAGGTAGAATTATGTTGAAATAGCCCCATTCCCCGATTCCCCCTCCTTCCAGCACAGCAGTGCAAACTCGAAGGCATTATTCTTGAAGCAACTCGTCTTGTTTTGTAATGTGGCCACCTTTAGAGTGACAGTCACCCTTTGTTTTTGAAGCACAAAAAATCCCATTTTGAAGATGCTTCGAGTATTGACTGACGGTCGAGCGCGGTGCAGCAACCGACTCGTCACTGCCGTCACCGCAACTGCCCTTCTCAAGCAGCAACAGCAGCAGCGAAACCTCTGGCGCGGCGGGCAGAGTCGCTGCGCATCGCGTTGTGCGGTTGAGCAATCTGGCGCTGCAATCTGTGCCAACCTGAGCAACCAGACGTGCTTGCCGATGACGCTTCCACCGATGCTGCTGCGTCATCCGATTGCTCGTCGTAGCGCTGCTCCCATGCGCGGCTTGTCTCTGGACGCGGTGGCGTCGTCACCTTCGTCACCAATGCGACAATCTGCATTACCAGCATCAATCCCAGTCATCACTCCTGCGACCGCTGCTCGGACCAACATGCGCGCCATCCCGTCATCAGTTGCTGCTGCTGCTGCTGCTGCTGCTCGGATGTCACCCATGCGAGCACTGAGCACGCTTGGAACTCCATCCGCTGTTGCTGGTGAACCACCCCAGACTGCCAATCCAATCATCCACACGCCAGTCGACGACTTTCTCGACAAGGTCCCAACCGGGTAGGAGATCAGAGTTGCTGAAGCCAATGTATATCGAGGTATTGAGGGACTAAGGGTACTGCGGCGTTGTGTTTGAACTGTTCATTGCAGAGGCTCAAGCCCTGATCCACAACCGGCGTCGCCTGCCACCGCGGAAGTCGCCGATCCCGAGATCAAAGACCCGGCCGTCATCTTTCAAACGGTCTGGCTGAAGCTTGAGGCTGAAATGACGGTCGAGAATATGTGGTAAGGGCCTGAATTCATCTGCGACACGCGTAAACATTTTCGCAAATGTCATTCATTTTTGGGCTCTGTCTTGGTTGCCCAGCTTCCCCAAAGAAATTATTTGGTTGAACGGCGCCCCTGGTTCAGGTACTGCAACTATCGCCCAAATGGTCTCCATTGGAAGAGCCGCTGGGCGCTCACTCTCCTAATAATGCATTGACTGTTTTCGTAGGCAAGGGGACCAACACGCCGTTCATTCTCTCCGCAAGAGGCATCTCGGCGCCCGCTATCGTCCTCAGCGACATGCTTCGCGGACCCGAGTTCCAAGCGATTATCGATCGTGGCGAAATGATCAGTTGAGTGTTCATCCGCAATGTTTTTGACCGTTTGCATCGAATTTGACAGCTCACTCAATTGTCCCCGCACAGGTGACAAGTACGTCGTAGAAGTCCTCTTCAGGACACTGCTCAAGCCCCAGTACCGTCTTGGTGCCGTGGTGGACGGATTCCCGCGAACTCCAGTCCAGGTGGAATGCATCAAGCTGCTCTTTGACAAAATGATGGCCCTGCGCAAGCAATTCCTCAACACGGAACTCGCGTACAAGTTCCCGCGACCCATCTTTCGCATTGCCATTCTCTACGTCTCTGAAAAGGAGTCCTTGGAGCGGCAGCTTGCCCGTGGTCAAAAAGTCAAAGAGCACAACCAGCGTGTACGTGTTTTTTGGTTTTGTGCCTTTTGTTTTTTTTTTTGGTTTTGTGCCAGCATTTCTGTTTGTGAAAGTGGATGATTGGTGTTTTGGATATGGAACTGCGCTTGAGGAACGAGCCACTGACTTTGACGAAAAGGTGAGTGAGATTTTCAAACACCGAAAAACAACAAAAAACAAAACTAAAACTTTGATTGCCATGCGCCATTGGACAGCTCATTGCCAAGCGATACGGCGTCTTCAAGCAAAACTACGACACGCTTCTGGCGATGCGCGAGCACTTTGCCTTCTACCTGATCAACGCGCAGGGAAGCATCGCCAACGTGCAGCACAGCATTCTCAAGCAATTCGAGTACCAAAGCAGCCAAGAATTGAGTGAGTCAAGGCTGTTGTTGTAACGACTTGATGGCTTGCACGATTTTCACTCACCCCCTATCTGCTTCGACAGATCAAGAAACAAACGACAGCCTGCAACAGCTCCCGCTCGCGACCGACATTGCCATCAACGCCCGACAGCAGCTCGTGCGTCGGCTGGATACCTACCAGGCCACAAACAACGAGACATTCGTCGAGTGCATCAAACTCATCGACCGAGAGTTTATGCCGTTGATTCGCCGCAGCGCCTTTTCTGGATCGGTGCTCATTCGCAGCGAGAACCCTCGCTTGGGCGACAGTGCCATGGTCGACATGATTCTCGATGTGATGGCTGAGCGCGGCTTTTCCACGCAGTTTGATGTCAAGGTCCTAGAGCGGCCAATTCGTGTCGATCCCGCGACGATGGAGATTGTCGTTGCAAGGTACGTTTGGGCACAACTACCTTTTTTTTTTTCTTTGTGTGAGTGGTTTGCTTGTAGCGCTGACTTGTTTTTCTGGATGCGTCTGCAGCAAAACATACTACAACTTGTTTATCAAGTTCCCGGGCGCCAAGTTGAGGGAGCGCGTTGAGACTCTCACTGGGTGAGACGAGACTGTGTTTGACAGTTCTGTAGCACAAAGAACGCCAACTCTTCCTAACGAGCTTGACGAGTTGGCTGTGTGCTGTTATTTGCATTGACAATACGAATTTCGTTGTTATTTTCACCTAAAAACGAAACATTACAACATCTGATTGAGATTCTATTCGACTGAGAATGAGAATGAGGCAGGAGGAGAGAGTCGGGGAAACCCCGCCCCCGCCCCCCTTCGCCTTTCACAATACCTTCCATCAATGCACCAACCATCATCACTTCTATTCCTTTTTTGAGACATGTTTTGCTTTGCTGTGTATGCGAGCTCAGTCGCTTCACCAAAGTTGTGACCGCAGATTCGCGCCAAGCGTTTGTCACCAGTTTGCCCTTCTGTTCTGCTGCACCCGACCAGTCCCCCCAATCGTCCGTTCACCAAGCTCTTCTGCTTTCTGTGCTTCTGACTTCCGCCTCTTCAAAGGACCGAAACGGGGCGCATCGCAACAAATCCCCCCCCCCCACGCGAGCACAGCCAAACCCAACCCAAAAAGGCCGACAACGGCTTAGGAGCGCAACCACATCCCAGATGGCGACTCCGCACCAGGCGTCGTTCTGCTGCTCGCAGACACTCCCGAACGAGCAACTGGACGTGTTCAATGCAATGTGCCTCGTGTGTTCGCTGGCGAGCGCGTCTGCGTCCGTGTTCAGCCTCCTGCGCGAGGACAAGTTCTACCTGTCGAGATTGCGTGCGGCCGAAGAGAGGCGCTTCCAGCCGACCATTGTAGCGTGGCTATTTCTGTCAGACTTTATGGCATGCATTGGCGTAATAGTTCGCTCCATATTGTCGTTGTCGCGCACGGCCGGCGCCAGTGAAGACGACCCGCAGGGACGCCCACCCTACCCCGAGCTGTGCATCTCCGTCGACGTCTACATTACCTTCTTTTTCATCGTGACCTTCTTCTGGACGTTTTCGTTTGCGCTCGAGCAATGGCTGTACACTGCCGGCATCAAGCATCGCATGTGGTGGTTTCACGTTATTTCCTGGCTTGCTGCGCTCGCGCTCACCGCCATCGGCAACGGCATTGTTGACGCGTCCTCTGGTTTTGCGTAAGTCGCGAGGGGGTTGGGGTTTCGGAAAATGTTGAAGGGTTGTGCAAGGATGTGGTGCTGCTTTGGTTGCGCGCGGGAGGCGTTTTCTTCGCTCACAAGTTTTTGTTCGCTTTTGACCCCGCTTTGTTTTGCAGATGCGAGTCGAGCGAGACCATGCTCCGTGCACGCTACCTAGCCATCTTTATTCCAATGCTGTTTGTGCTCCTGGCCAACCCAACCTTGTTTTGCTTGGCGTACGTCGCCCGACGACGGAATGCTCGCGCCGAGGGCGAGGTGACGGCCCAAACACGAGACCGCGCGCGTCAAGTGCTGCTGCAAATGGCCGAGATCTCGTTTGTGTTTATCGTGTGCTGGATGCCGTCGATTGTGAATGGCGTGATGGAGTACGCGGACGTGACGACGACGGGCAACTCACTGTTTGCTCTCTGGGTGATTCAGGTCAGCGGAAATTGCCCTTTGGCTGAGTGTTTTCATGCTGTTTTTTGGTGTTGTTTATTTACGTGCTGGTTTGCTTTGGTTTTTCGCAGGGCATTACGAATCCGTCGCAAGGGTTGCTCAACATGTTTGTCTACTCGCGAGTGCCCTCATCCCACGTCGGCGTCGTCTACAACCGATATAGCACCGATGCCCTTGAAGAGCATTCGCGTCTTGTTCCTGCGCAGAGCAAGCCTCGCAACACGACTCCCGCTCCTCGTCGATGAGTGTTGTTGTTCCGGGTTTTTTTTTTTTTTTTTTTGTTGCACATAGTTCCTTGCGTGATTGTTCCTTGATGTTTTGCATTGTTATGCTTGTATATTGTTTTTCGCATGGGTGGCCTAATTTTGGCTGTCAAAATTAAAATGCCCGGCCCCATAAACCTCGCTCCGACCAGCCGAGCGACAACGTCCCGACGGCCTTTCGCGCTCTACCTCGGACGCCCGCATTTCCTGCTTTGTAGACGACGATGCTTTCTGCTCTACTGCTGTTAAATTAACAACCCCCCAGAATGCTCTGCTGGTGATTCGCAGGGGTGATCCACAATCAAAACCCCACGCCAGACCGCCGAACCAAAAACTCAGCTTTGTGTTTGATTGATTGCTGGGTGGCCACGCAATGCCAGATCATCCCCGTTCGTTTTGCCATCCATCTCCCGCGGCTGACCTCCCTGTCATTTCCCGCTCTTCAAAGGTCGTCTTTGTCTCTCATTTCCTAGCGTCGGTCTTTTCTCTCGAGTTCAACGTTTCGTTCGGGGTTCTTTGAACATTCGCATTTTTTGGATTTTTTGGATTTTTTGGATTTTTTCAGTCTTTTTTTTTTTTTTTTTTTTAATTTAATTCAGGTTGGTATTTTTTAATTTTTTTCATTTTTTTAATTTTTTGAATGCTTTGAACGCGCACTTCTTTCCTCCTACACTCGCTCTTTCTCGCGTGCAATCGGAAGGGCTTGCAAACGAAGCAAACGACGCCCTCGATTCTTGCGCAACGGCCACGACGCGTGATGTACGCGCTGCGGCGAATCTCATTTCTGAGCGCAATGCTCGTTTCGCTCCACGCGGCATTTTCTCCACTTCGCTCTCTCTCTCCCGTCGTTTGTTTCCCCCCCACCTCCCCCTCCTCTGCGTCGGTCTTCTCTCGGTTCTGTCGCTGTGCACGTTGTGCATCCATCCCCTGATGGGTGGCGTGTGCCTGGGGGCCCATCGCTCTTTTGCCACGCTTGCACCGACGCGACTGCTTGATTGCAATTTTTTTTTTTTTTTTTTTTTTGGTGCGCGTGCTTTGCAAACAAAAAGGCCTGCTTGCATGCCAGGCCTCGTGTGACCCCTCCGTTCTCCCCCACCCCCACTTCCATCCCCAACCACCATCAGCGAGATCGGCACCTTGCCAGCGACTTGGGTGTCATTTGCCCAATGCTCGCTGAATGCCGAGTTGGATCTGCATTCGTTTTTGCTTTGTTTGGTTTTTTGTCGCGCCACTTCCAATCGCCCCGTCGCTGCGTGCCCATCTGCTTCCTATCTGCTCCCCAAAACCCGCAAAGAGAGAGAGAGCAACAGTCGCTGGTTAAAGCCCACAGAGCTCCGTTTTCTCCCCCAAAACACGACACGAGCCTCGCGCTTCGATCTCCCACTTTTGTGCTTTGCTCTTGGCACGGCTTTTTTATTGTTTGATCACGTATTGCACTTTTGCTCTGCGCCAATGAATCATCGTTTCGATGGCATGGCGATCCGATCCGATCCAACCGTCGCTCCCCTCGCGTCCTCCCCACTGTTGGGTTGTTGCGTTGCTTGATCCGCTGCCGATGCCAAGCAAGGCGAGCATAGGCACGATCTCTGTCTCTGTCGCAAAAAAAAAAAAAAAAAAAATCACGAAAAAATCACAAAAATGCAATGCGCGAGACTGACGATCGCGGCTTCGACCTCAGCCGATCTTCTTCCTCACCGAATGCGTTGTTGCCCGACCAACATTCCCCAACAATACCCGAGGAAAGAGCGAAAATCGCACCCCAAACGAAAAACCCACAAAAGAATAGAAAAAAAATCGTAATCAGGATGTTTTCGGTTTTGCTGTATTTTTTATCTCGTATCATCTTCCGCTTCGCCTTCTTTCCCTTCTGTTTTTGAGTGTCGGATGTTGTTTTGTTTTTTGTTTCCTTATCACATACTTTGTCCATTTTCGTGCCTTGTTGTGGTGGGTTTTTTTCGTGATCTTGAATGGACCCGCCGCAGCCCTCGCCAATCAAATGACTGAGTGCACATCGGACTTTGATCAACTGACATTTGTGATCAACTTCCGTTCTCTCTCTCTCTCTCTCTTGTGATTCTCTCTCTCTTGTGATTCTCTCTCTCTGTTGAACTCGTCATGTTCTTCCTCCCTCACGACGATCGGGTCACGGGCTCGTAGTGTGCGCAATCTCCGTGGGGAATAACGCACATCCTCATCAAATTATCGTTTTTACATTTAAACCAAAAAAAAAAAAAAAAAAAACCGTGCCCATCGTGCTTGGTATTTTTTTCCTTGATCACCCTCAAATCCACTCTCCTTTCTTTGTGTACACAATCGCTCTCTCAATCACTCGTTGTTCTGTCCTTCTCTCTCGTCTCGTCCCGTGTGCACCCACTCACCATCGGGGGACGCTAGATCACCAAAACACATCCTTTTGGTCCCAAGGTGTTAGGGTGGGTTTTTGTTTTGGTTGCCGTGCATTTTGCTAAACAACAATACCTTTGTTTCGCTGTTTTTGGGTTGTTTGCTTTCCATACAGGTACCACTTATTATTATTATTCATTCATTCATTCCTCTTTTTTTTTTTTTTTTTCTTTTTTCAATTGTCAATTCGCAACCGTCCATCCGTCCATCGTCAGGGAATCCTTCTCCGTCGATTCGTGATCTTTTGCGTGATTGTCAAGGCATCCATCATTGTCCTCATCGTCCATCGATCTGTCATCCCAATCGCCCGTTCTCGAGCTGGACCTGCCACAAAACAAGGCCGTTTTGCCCTTCACACCTTTGCAATTTTTCCACACACCACTTCCTCCTCCCTCCTCCTCGTTTCCAAGGACTTTTACCAACCGCCGGCACTACCCGTATCCCCCCGAATTCATCTTCTATGACTGTCAACATGTTCTCGCGCTTTGGATTCGCCTCGTCAACGAATCATCCCGCTCAGGTCGATGTGCTGCCGCCCGCCCCGCACGACCGCCAGCCCCAGCATGGCGCAGGACACTTGCACTATGCGCACAACGTCGTCGCGACCACCGCCGTTGTCCACACGGGCAAGCACGCAGAGGTGAAGTTGCAATTCCCACTGCGCACCTCGCCTCCGCAGGACGTGCCTCCACGCCCCTCACTAGGATCCCGCGACGACGATCGCATTCTAAGCTGCAAGTTCTGCGAGCGAACGTTGCGAAGCGTGCGCACCATTTGTGGTCACTGCCAGTACGTCCACACTGGCGATGGCCGACATGTTCGGGTAAAGCTGTGCGATGCAACCTCGTCGCTCGGCGGCCTCGCCCACTTTGGCTCGCAGCAATCACGGCTCTCGCATCAGCAATTACATCGACCTCTAGCATCATACCACAATTCGCAGTTGCCTCAAGAGCATCGCGTGCAGCCCGTCCGTGATACCTCTGACGACCAAGAGCTGCAGTTCGAGATGGAGTAACGTCTCACTGCCTTCTTTTGCTAGCCTCTTTTTTTGAAGTCTAGCCTTTTCAACTCATTGCTAATCAAGTGTTTTCGACTTTTTTTTTTCCGTCTGTGCTCGTGTTGTTTTTTTGCTTTTCTGTTCTCGCTTCAAAATCGATTTTTCTTTTGCTGCTTTTTCCTTTTCTCTCTCTCTCTCTCCCTTTCTTGTCTTCCGATCTTCCCTCTGCGTCTGTTCCCGTTGCGCTTTTGTACTATGATTCTTTTGCTTTTTTGTTGTCGTTTATTTTTTTACGTTGAAAAATGTACATTTTTGATTCCTCATCTTTGAGCACACACCCAATCAAATGTAATGCTACGACCGACGGGGAATTTTGAGCAGCTTGACGGCATTGTTGTTCCCAACATAGCTGAGTCCTGATGCAAACGTGGTGAAGGCCATTGTCCACCTGTCCAACACACATTCCGACGAGTGAGGAGGACTCCCCAGCTCTGCGCTCGTCTGACTCAAATCCTTACCACATCCAGTCCAACGTCGTTGCGCTCACGATCGAGTATGGTGTAAAGGTCAAAACAGCGCAAAAGATGGTGATGAACTGCACTGCCGTGTTAAGCTGCAGCAAAGCACAGAATGTGATGAGTTGCGCGCCGTTAAACCTACAAACACAACAGAGCAGTACTTTGCTAATTCGAGTCGGAATAAACTCCGTGGCCACTTGAGTAATATCCAAAAGTTTCGTCCAAGTCTAGATCGTGCCCAAAACAAACACCCGCCCCAAAAGCAAAACGGCAATTAAAAACCAAAAAGGCAGCCCAACAAACTAAACTCCTCGCAAACCGCAATTAGTTACCCGAGGTCGTTCCGTTGTCTTCCAACGGTAGTAGCTGGCCCCAGTGATCAGACTGACATCACGAGCAATGACCAGCGTTGCGAGCGGCACTGTAGATGCACAACCAAATGAAAAAATGAGCCGTAGGGAAGAGTTTGCATCGCATCGGATTGCTTGCATCCATAACCATCGAGTCACGCGCGCGCCTTCCATCGGCACCCTTACATGGCATCGACCCCACCCAGGCAAGCGCAGCTGCACTGCAAATCATGAAAAACTTGTCTGCCAGCGGATCGAGCGCGGTTCCGAGCATCGACCGCTGACTAGGAAAGGCTCGGGCAATCATTCCGTCGAGCTGGAGGGCATCAAGTCAAGGAATGGATGGCGCGATGAGTCATGAGGCGACCAGCAACGGCACCAAACACACACAAACAAACAAAACAAGCTGACGAAACAGAACAAAACAAGCGCTCACCAAATCGGAAACAGCTCCAAACACAAACAAGCCCGCGGCAGCATGGTACTGACTGCCTGCAAAGCAAACGAGAATCACTGGCGACGAGACCAAGCGAGCAAACGAGAGTGCATTCGGCACCGTCCAAACTCGCTGCAGCTGAGCGTCTGCGGCAGCAGCGTCGGGCGTTGCTGCGTTTTGCCCTGCGATGGGTTGATCTGTATGAATTGGTGGATTTTTCGCAGCATCGGCCTTGGGAGCGGTGCCGGGTGACGACGCTGTGGACTGCCATTCACTCAGCAAATCTCAGTCAGTACTCACAAACCCGCTCGCTTCTCCAAACCGAAACGCGATCAGAAATCGGCAACATTCTCAACACGAATTGTGCAAGCACACTGACGCACCATCGATTGCTGGCGGGTCCTCAAAGTGCTCCAGTATGAAGCTGCTGCAGCACCTGTCATCGCAGCAGGCAGCAGCGACGTGGAGTGGAAACGGGACCACCGCTGCAGTCCAGTGTGCCATCGACGACTGCTGCCTGCTATTCAGAAGTGGACTGAACTGTGTGTGCTGATGGGCGCGCGCGTGTG